TTCGCACCCCAGGTCTCACCTGATAGATAGAAGATTACAATTTGAGTTCTCATGTAAACAAACACATGCACAATGATTACATTAAGTGATCAATCGATCACCATGATGTACATCTGCCCTGAGGGATGAAGACACATCAAAGGCCAGTGTTCTGAAAGCAACATTTACAGCACATATTTGCTTGATAGGTTGCTGTCATAGCCCTGACCACAAGTTTCTTCTTCTTCCATAGATGAAACTTCAGGGTAAGGTGCAAGCTGAAGGGCCCTTCTCAGGACATAGTGATGAGCATTTGGTAGGCCTCCTCCTCCTCCTCCTCCTTGCTCATAAATGTTGCTGAAATGTAAGACTCCAGTACTGGCACAAGCTGAGCAACAGCTGGTGATGCCCATCGATACCTGTTGCTGAAAAGATTCTTTGGGCTGCCAAACGATTCTGCTGGAGACTACAGTGCAGATGCATGATTAGGCAGATTATAATTGGCATTCTTGTTGGATCAAACAACAGATTTCTCATCCAGCTTACCTAGTAAATGAAATCACAAGATTGATATAGGGATAATCTTGATATAAATGAAATCACAAAGGCTTCCAAACTTTATATTGCACTGCATCTGCTGATTTCTTGTTTGTTCGTCATCAAAATCTTTTTTCCTTTACTCATTCAGCTGGATAATCTCGATATAGTCTGGAAAGAGAGATGATAAACATGTATTGAGTGCAAAACCAGACTCTGTTCATATATTATTTACTATATTACATGTAAAGCAAGTCCAGTACACTCAGATCGGCCCTTATAGAGTTGTCCTCCATGTCCGTCAGGAACGAGCCGAGGACCATGTTAGTGTGCTCGTGCCGTGCTAAACGGCGAGGACAAGCCCGGGGAGAGACCGGCCGCCCTGCGCTGGAGCCCTGCTCTGCCATAAGGTGCCGCCATCGCCGGAGACCGTGGAGGTGCAGCCGCCGCCACACTCGCGCACGGTGACGGACGTGTTGAAGTACTCCCTGAACCGGGTGATGACGCCGCCGTCGACGGCCCAGGCGTGGACCCAGTAGGCGTGCTTCCCCTCCCACCCCTCCGCCACCACCCAGCCCCCGATCGCCGTCACCGTCCGCGGCCTGAAGCGGAAGTCTCCGTGCCCCGCTTCCCCGGTCAGCAGCCGCCTCATGTACTGGCACCGCCGGGGGCCGTGGAACCACCACTCCACGTCCTCCGCCATCAATGCCGCCACGGCCTTCATGTCTCCCCTCGCCAGTGAGTCGTACAAGGACTCCACCAACCCCTTGGTTGCCATGCAACGAGACCAGCAAAGCTGTAAGAGAGACGAAGACTACGTGTAGTGTGTCGTAAGCGTCTTCCTGCAATGTGAGAGGGGAGGTATATATAGAGAGAGAGGAGAGGAGAAAGCCAGGGAAAGGGATCTTGATATGCTGGAACGAAGACCGAGAACTTTGGATCCGGGGCATGGTTGGTGCCAGAAGGACCAAATAAAATGTGGTCACGCAAGCAGGATGTGACCGACCAGCTTTATCCATTTGTTTAGGCTAAGTGAAGAGCTTGTGGGGAGTGCATCAATGGAGGGAGGTGTGATCTGGGAATGGAGGTTTTGAGACCACAATCTCACCCATAAAAAGGTCATGGATGTTGAAGGTTTGGTCTGGTCATTATATATATAAATAAACTATTTTTTACTTATATAAATATTTATAATTAATATTTCATAAAATTAATATTGATCTGATCATATATATATATATATATATATATATATATATATATATATATATATATATATATATATATATATATATATATATATATATATATATATATATATATATATATATATAAAAAAAATATAACATAAAAAAATATTTATAATAAATTT